TTTGTGCCAATAGAGGGCAGTACTAATTGAGAAAAGCTATTTTGTGGGAGGAGGTAAGATATCGTATCAGAATGTTGATAGTTTATTTACAGGTGATGTTTTTACATTCCTCTGATAGATATAAATCAAATCCAAGTATATGCTTAATTAGTATGGTGATGGATTGCGAGGAAGTTACTATACATTTTCAATAAGAAAGCTGCAATATTGCATATACTGAAGACTGATTTTCTTTAACCTATAGATTTTAAGGAAGTAGAAAAACTGGGATGAGTACAAAATTCAATAATAAAGATTAAGCAACTTCAGTTTCCATTTTCACCAGGAAAAGAGCAGCAAATTAAACTGATACAAATCTGAAGATACAGCAGGCATAAGTCTGCCATATAATGCAGCCAGTAAAGTGACTGTTCAGTTCATTTTCAGTTATTAATTTAGTTAACTGCTTAGCATTTAATATAAAGTCAGCTGTTAATAAAACCAAGAATGTTAGATAACTACTGCCTACCAATCAAGCATAAGTGAAATTGATTGCATACCAATAAATTTATAAAAAATGAACTAAAACAAAATGCCACTACAACCAGAGTGAAATAAAAAGAATCTATTAAACTTTAACAATCACAGAAATCCAAAACAAAACTTTCAAACAACTGGAATACAAATTTTATCAGTTACAAAAAAACAAAAACAGTTAATAGATGAGTGCCTGGCCAGGACTTTATACAAACATTAATGAACAATACAACATATATATATATCAATGTTATTAACTTCTATAAATAAAGGAATTAAGAAAAAGAACTAGAATAAAAACCCTAATTCTAAAAAAAATACAATATTCCAAAATTAAACCACTTCAAGATCAATAACAATCAGCAGTAATTTGTTTTCACTGTATCTCATGAACTATCTAGTTTAAGCTCAAGGCATGGATTTTAATTAGTTGTTAAACCATGGGGTTACATCTCATGTTACTAGTAATTTACATAATCTTCATAACATTAATATCTGTATGTCACCACTAGGGGAAGCTTGTGTTAGTTTCATAATACAAACACACTGAAATTCAACATGTTCTAGCTAGAAGGTGAATTAGCACTTTAATATAATTAAAAATTCATAGTTGAACTAAACAACAGAAGGAACAATAAATAAATGGTAAAGAAATCCATAACAAAATAAAAGTAGAATTTGCTATCTCAAAACTTAATCACATGACAAACTGTTCCCAAAAATATTTAAACACACTAAGATGAGTAAGGATTAAAATAGTCTTCCTTTGTTTGTGCTGTCAATCTGTACTTGTAACTGTACTTAACACTGATCAAATCCATCTGATGTCTTACTTTATTTTATTCTATTTTTGAGTTATAGTTTTAATTCAAAATACTATTGTTTATGTGAAACTTTAATGCAAGATAGAAAACAACAACAACATGAAACTAAGAGATGTGTCAATTTTAACTTTGAATTAGCTCTCACCATATTTACCTGATGACAAGTGGCCTTGTGTATTACAATGACCACCAAGTCATCTTCTGAAAATGATGTGATGGCCATGTTGAAACATATAGAGCTCTTTATCTGTTTAAGATATACAAATAAACAATGTGTTTCATTTAACTGATTTTAGTATCACTCACCCTCATTATGTGTCATTATTGAATATCTGACACTTTGTTGTTTATATGTAATTATGTCTGGAAAGTTACTTTAAACTACTTTTACATTTTCTGATCATTTGTATTAAATTATAGCTAACCATAAGAGATGGATAAATTACACTGACTCATAATAAGCAAGTTTCATTGGTTACAGCAATTTATGTATAGTTGCTGTCAATATTAAAACTATTAAATTTCCACTATGAATTACTTATATAAAGCCTTACCAAGCTCACAGAGAGCAGGACTTAATTTTCCATTAATATTAAATGCACTACTAAATGTTGAACATGTGTTTTCTTTATCATTAACTACAAAGTAATATATCTTAATATTTTTTATTACTTTCTACTTAATCAGTTGATCTAATTTTTTAAAAAATAAGTAGATTTTTTGAAAGGTTTGTTAATTTTGACATTAAAATTTAACCAATTTGTCATTTAAAGTAGCTACATGGACACATATATCTTCACAGTGAGCAAACTTTATGACAGGATTGACACATCAGTCAAATGACTGGTCAAATAATGCAAAACTTATAGTAACATTAAGACTGTCAGGGTTTCACTCATACCTATAACTGTCATATTACCATTATTTTGACTGCTACATACTACAACATCAGTATTAAAATGAAAGACAAATTACTGGATACAACTCAAAAGTTTAAATGTAATTACAGCCAAAACACCTAATTAAAATGAGCAATTGTGCAATTTAAATGCTATAATAAAATAAACATATGAAAAAGAAACAAGTTAGTATGCAAGTATAAACAGCTATATGTACATACAAAACTTTAAATAGAAACTAGTACGTAAATTATTCTAAACAGTATATGTTAGTAAAAACTGTGAAGAAAATTACGTGATTCCCATTATAAACTAGCCTAAGTGGCACAATTCACACCCGGAAACTTTTCAAATTTCAATGTGCTTTTACCAAATACAAGTCTTTTACACAGGGCACATTTATCTGAAGAACTGTTTTTACAGCATTTAGCTATCTGGCATTGATTTCTTTTACATTTTTCACTGGATACAGCACCAGATTCAGGCTGAGATGGTTGGTGCTTTGTTGGAGCTCTGAGGCTAGCTTCAAGATGAAATCCCTCCTACTTATACTTTCTTCAGTGCATTCCTTGCACAAATGAAAAGAACTGATAGCTGCCAGATCCAGGACATTGTAAAATACAGCAAATGGCCACAAACAAGAACCACAAACAAATCCACGACTCATTGCTTTTGTGATCCCTCACATTGCCCATATCAGAATCATTTTCCGAGAAAGTTGTGAGCATCTCTATCACTTGTTGAGCAGACATTTGTTTTCTTTGAGCCATTTTTGAGTTTCTGTAAGAATTGTTACTGTATATACTAAAATTGACAATCAAGCAGGCTCCACTTCTCACAGGAATTGATAAAATTATAGGTAGACAATATTATGATATACTCAAATCAACAGACAAGCAGATGCCACTTCTTATGGTAATTGATAAATTATAAGCAGGCTAGGTTATGATATACTCAAATCAATAGACAAGCAGGTGCCACTTCTTATGGGAATTGATAAATTATAAGCAGGCTAGGTTATGATATACTCAAATCAACAGACAAGCAGGTGCCACTTCTTATGGTAATTGATAAATTATAAGCAGGCTAGGTTATGATATATTCAAATTGACAGACAAGCAGGTGCCACTTCTCACAAGAACTGCTAGGATTACAGGTAGACTATGTCAAAATTAATTCACATCAGCCACCAAACAAACATTTGTTCTTTGAGATTTTAAGGTCCAAAATATAATCAAAGAGCTGGGAGCTCAGTTGAAGACAGAAATAAAAACAGGCATCTATACTGAAACTGCAGGCTATTTGCAACATAAAAACACAAAACTCGAATTGTATGTAGTTATAAGTAAAAACATGTAATGTAAATAGCAGTCAAATTGACAGGTCTTTGGCAGTTCTAGGTAAATGTAATTATAACTTTTTTAAATTATCCTTTGAAACACCATCGGGGTATTTAATATATGGATTTCATAAAATCCATGAATAGACAACAGCATATCTTTCATACTCGCAAAGATATTTAAATTTTAAAAATGAACCATCAAACTGATGGCCTTGGAGGTTCTCGTGTTAAGTGCCATAAATACTTATGTATTATCCAAAGTTATTCCTTTTTTAGCCCTTAGTCCCACCTCTACTTACAGGAGCATCTTGGAATTACTTCCCTAACAACAGCTTCAAAATTGCTGTGTTCAATCTAAACAATAAAAAATTTTATTTATTCTATCACAGCCTAATATATCTTATCTTTTTACATATTTTGTAAGCATTATGTGCATATTAATATAATATAATGCATGAGTTTAATGGGTCCCTACACTTCACCTTTTGAAACCTTTATAGGTGAGTGATGTTATACTATGCTGTATAATTATAGTCTTCAGTTTTATTCAGCCAAAGTCTATGATTTTTTTAAGCTTGCAATATAACTTCATAATAATTGCATATTATTGAAAAAAAAAGGATAGTTATTTGATATAATGACTGGTAATATTATTTATTTACAATACACACATCAAAATGGCAGCACTGGCTTTGTTGTTGTCAGTAGGCTGGAGACAAACTATGAACTCATAAATGGGTTCTTTTTATTTTCATGTAATTTACATTCAATTAAGTAAAATAATAAAACAAAAACAAATAAATAAGATAGTGGACCATATTTATTAATTAACCAATAGTGTTTAACCAGTAAAATGGCCAAACCTGCTGTATGATTACAAATAATAAAGTGAAATGATATCCAGAGGTTCCTAGCTCAAAATACTACTGTTTACAGTCACAGTAAGCTTCTT